ACGTGGAGACAACACTGCATAACTGAGATATATATTCAGCCCAGTTATCTTCCTTGTACCAAACCTAATGATTTCCATTGAGATTGATAATCATCTGTCATTCTTGTTTCAGTAATTGTATAGCCAGAACTGTAACAAAACCTAAGTCTCCCAAAATTGACAATAAATATATTTTCATAAGTTTCCTATATTCAGAGATTTTCATTGAGATTTTGATTTCTGAGGATTCTTATTCAGGAGCATTTGTTAAGTTCAAAGCATAGAAGAGTTTATTATTGCTACCTATATACAAGAATCTAGTCAACTAAAGGTCAAAGCTAAACTGATACTAGATAAAGGGCATTGGAATTCACAGAGCGGGGGAGCAGACTTGGATCTCTTGTGGCAATGCAGTGACTCCAAACTGATGACATGTTTAACTCTGCCTTCCAGCTCAGTCTTCCCTTTTCCTACCTACACCTTTTTATTTATAACAAGACTATGAATGATGTGACACTTCAGCTTCCCCTTTTCAGCCCCCAGAATAAGTGCAATCAAACGTTGGGTCACTTTTGGAAATATTGATCCCATCTGTTAGGTATAACATTGATACCAAATATGGTTTGGGTGAATAAATATATAAAACTTAGATATCATGGTTTAAGTGCTTATCACTTTAAGCACAATGCAGCAGGCAATTAGCCGATTAAGGGTGCGGTTAGAAGTTTCAATATAAGGAAGCATTAGAAGCTGGAAAGCTTACTGGCTGTAACTGTGTCTTGCTGTGACTAACTGTGATTACTGACTGTGAGTGCCTGTGACTGAACTGTTTTTGTTTGCTACTGTTTGCTGAATATCCAGCGTTTGTTTCTCTGGAGGGTGAAACCGGAGGAGGAGAAGATATCTTTATCGGCTGATAAAGATATTGCAAGGACTCTTAACTTGGACTATACTAGTGAGTCTTACTGGATGGAAATACTGTGAATGACTTAATGGACTGAATGACAATGCTTAAACTCTAACTGGATTAAAAACTATTTAAACTACAAACAGTGTTTGTATTCAGTGTGTGTATACTCTGGGGCCCTTCCGCTCTCCTTTGGTTGCCTGGCTTGACTACTGCTGCAATACTTTTCTAGGGGTTAATTCCCAAACCCTAACATCATCTCTCAAAAGAAGATGCTTTTGGGCCTAATCCTTCACATGGAACAGAAAACCTGATGTTCTCAGACCAACAGGAAATACTCACTGCTAATTTACAGGAACTCTGTTCTTGTAGACGGAAGAGATTATGTTTAATTAGATTTTAGTAGCCTGATTTTAGAACAAATCTATGCCATAAAGAATAAAGTCTGTAATAGACATGTGTTTCTGAGAAATCTTATAATAACAAACCAACCAGTGTTATCTAGATGCTTGATATAGTGAATTGTAAATTGTGATTTATGAAATTGTAACATAGCTTAAATGATTTAAACAAGAACAGATATTCAGTGATATTAATTTGATATTCCAACAACTTAGTAGGATTTCTATTTTTGTGACAGAACTTGGCTCAGGCAGCTGGAATTTAGTATATGAAGTTCTTATTTGGGAAAAAACCTTTATCTATTTTCTTTATTTTTTATTTACGTTTTTAATTTCCATAATGATATATTTTTTAATGTTCAGATTAGAAGATGGTTTAGAACTTTAGACCATATGTGGAAAGATAGATTAGAAATATATAAAAACATATTTTTCTTTCCCTTAGCTTTGTAAGAACAGGAAGCCTACAGCATTTAGCCACATTATATGGTGACTATGAGGAACATGAAAGTCATTCTTTATGCTAGAACCAGAGACTTAATTCTTGATGGGGATAGAGAAGTGCATTTTTCTTCACTAATATTATTGTTTGCAATATATAAACTTCCTTTGAATACAGAAATAATATTTAAATAATCCGGATAACAATTCAAAATCATATCTCTAACATAGAGAAAAGAAATCGATGTTAAGCTGAAATTTAACATTCTGAAAGTTTATGATGACAAATTTTGATTGAATGTCATTTGCGTGAATTATATTGGCAAAGTATGTTAATTTTATAAGCATATACGTATGAAATTCCAATATTTCCTCTACTAGTCTGTAAGTATAGGGGTTTCAATCAGGTGTGTGTGTGCTTATGTGCATGTTATTATCTTAGGTGAAAAATGTAATAATAAAATACAGGATTGGAAATCCAACTCATTTTTTCTCCTATATAACTTATTAACTTATAGAACTTATTACCAAGGTTGCCTTAAGGCTGCAGTGATTTAAAATAACTATGTCATGGCTGTGTTCATCTGAGAAAATTTAATGCGAACAATATATCAAGTCTGGATAATCCTAGAACTGGAGCTGAGCTAACTCTTTTCAACCATTTTAGCACTCTTTCACTTCCTTTGTTCACTGTAGGCCTTTTAAATCCCATCTTCCCATTAGGTTAATGTGACTATTAAAAGGATATATCTTATGCTTACGTTGAGTTGCTTTGCATGATTCATGCTTAGTTGGAAGAAAGAATTACTGAATTCAGTTGGACCTATTACTGAAAAAAGAGAGATACTGTAGATTCTTAGTTTATTATGGTAATGGTCAATTATATGTGTACAGTATATAATCTTTGCTTATGCTTTCAAAATGCAGAAAACAAATTATGTGTTCAGAAATCATATTTAATAAATCCCAAATGTGTTATGGCTTTAACCGCAAAGGAAATATATTCTCTCGCATAGTGTGGTTATTCTTTTTCATTTTTGGGGGAGATAAGGAAATCTTATCTCTAAATAATATTTCGTAGTGTCTGTGATAATTCATGTCTCACCTTTATTTTTATTTTTTTTTAAAAAAAACGGTTATGCAAAGGAAACCACCAGTCTCCAACACGTATGCGGTTCTAAATTGCTCTCTATAATTGGACAGTATCTCTAGTAGATTCTTTTGTAGGCCAGAAGAGACCCAGGAATAGGTTTAACACAATAACTTTGATTTGTGGGGAGGGGGCAAGTAATTAACCAAGCAAGGATTGTTATTCAGGGAAGCTGGAGAAAAAGTGAACAACAACAAAAAAGTGTTATGGGGGGTGGGGGAAATCAATCAACAAGGAACGAATTTTTGGAATATATGGACTGGTAGGGTAAAGGGGGGAAAAAAAACCTTAAAAAATAATATACATGGGTCATACCCATGGGAATATACCCAGAGAAAGTTTCTCACATATCTTAGTCAGGATTCTATAACTGTTTCTGAAGGTGTAAGTCAGATAGTTGAGGTTATTCAGTGGCCTCAAAGAATGTTAGTGTAGGGGAGAAATACACCCTTCCTTAATAGGAATGGAGACCACAAATGGAAAAGTCACAGAAAGCTTTGGTGTGTCAGAGAAAGAATAACATACAACATAAAGTATGGAAAAGTAACACCTACCAGATCTGGTGTGACATTATGGTGATAGTTCCTCTTGAATCATAGAAACCACATAAGCATCCTTAATTAAAAATAAAATAAAAAGGATGGCTGCTATGTCTATGTGACAAAGAGCTGTGGTAGGAAGTAGCGCTATGCAAAGCACTCACAAAGCTTGTTGTTGCAATGAAAACCCTCAATCTGTTGAGGCAATCTCTGTGATGCTGCTTTGAGGATTTTCTACGGTAGGTTGTTACCACTACGAGTACGAACAGCTGCTTTGTTTTGCTGGCAGTCCGAGGGGAAATGCTGTCTGTGCATCAGATGTGCAGAGATCCTAGGAAAGACCATGAAGCAACTATGCTGAATCTGCCAGAGGAAATGGCTGCCTCAACCCTTTGAGGAAGGGCATTTTACAGAGCCTTGCTTTGAATACTTTGCATACTCACAACAGGGAGCAATCTGAGGGATGGGTGGGAGAGACTTTCTATGACTTGCTTTCTCCTCTCCGGTTGCCTCCATGAAGTGTCCAAAGATGCTAAAAGGTAGCAAGAAACGATCTTATCATTCTATTTAGACAAATGGGTATTTTGCAATCCTCCACAGCTTCCATGGCAGGTGTTTAATAGAAACTCTACAGTGACAGCCACTGCTGACTACCTTCAACACATTCTCAGCATTTCACACAACCCCCTCAAGGCTTCTAACCTTCTTTTCACTTTTCCTCTCCATAGTCACAGATTTCCAGACCTCAAAACCCTTTCTGCTATAAATGTCACCTGTTTTAGGGTTACCTGGCCTATGTAAGTTAGATTTAAGCTTAAGTTTAATAGGAACCCATGGTATTAAAAGTCATACTTTTTAAAAATCAAGTTGGAATATCCCAAACCACTCTTAAAAGCTGAAAGATATTTTAGACTAGGAATGGCCTTAAATTTCTCCACGTTGTTTATCTAGAAGTGACATAGGCGATACCACGTTAATAAGTATATCAAGAAGGAACCAAAGAATTTGAACAGTGGGAAGTTTCACATCCCCCCCCCCATGCTATTCCACCATTAATACATTAAGTATGCATGCATAGCACATCAATATGCTTCTCTCTCTCTCTTGCACACCCCCACAGGCTGGCAGGGAACCTGTTACACCAATATCCCGTCAAAGCTAGCTTGGCACCAGCTTGCAGCATTTGTGTGCGTGTATTTCCCCCCGCCTCCCCACATTCATTTCTTTTTCCACATTACGAGCGAGCCTTCTCACAACTTCTCTTGGAGCGGGGTGGCGTTTCGTTTTCTTGCGTGACACGTTTCACGTGGCAACCGAGGGTGGGTGGGGGACTGAGCCGCGAGGACCACCCCGCGAGTGGCGGGGGGGCGGGCAGGCGAGCGCGCGCCTCAGCTCCAAACGAAGGAGGTGGGTGGGTTTGTTGCCTCGGTGCCCCCCCCCCGCATGGCAAGCGAGGGAGGCGGCGTCTGTCTGTGGCGGTGGCCACTCGGGAAGGAAAGAGGGCCGAGCGCGCCCTGACTGACAGCGGCACGGAGCGCCTCCCCGACGCTCAATATCAAGAGAAGGAAAAGAAGAAGCTGCTGCCGGGGAGTGTCTCCCTTGCCCGCCTGTGCCTCCTCCCTCATCATCACCTCCCTTCCCCCTCCTTCGCCCGCGCTTGCTGAGCGAAGTCGGGTCACTCTGGCGAACGTCGCCTGGGCATGGCTCAGCGTTGCCTGGTCTGCTGCGGGGCCGAGGCAAGACGAGCAGGTAAGGGCAGCGGGCGCCGGAGCCAAGCCAAGCGGGCAGTGGGCGAGCAAGGAGACAGACGCGGCTCTTTGCCGGGATGAGGAAGGCGGGAGCGAGAAGGGAAGTAAGGGAGAAAGCAAGCAAGCGAGGAAGGAAGGAAGGGCCTGGCCCTGCGATGCGCAGCTTTGGTCGGAAGACCTCGCTGCAAGCGGACGGCCAGAGAAGAGCGCGCGTCCCGGGGCGCCTGGCAAAGGGGCGCAATGGTGCGGGAGCGGATCGACATCTTGGCGGCTTTGTAAATACTGCGCCGCTTCGTATTTAATTCAGGGTCGCTTTTTTTGCGGGGGGGGGGGGGGGGGGAAGGGGAGGGAGAGTTGCGGATTGCCCTCCTGATCACCATCTTTGATGAGACCCCACCTTCCCCGGGCAGCTTTGGATGCAGTGTTTGGCCATCCTTTCTCGACGTTGGGCAGTCCCGTCCCGTTGCATGTTTTACTCGCGGTGGTGGTGGTGGAGGGAATGTAACCACCTCTCCTCTTTCTCCCTCCGGAGCCTATTTCTAAATAAAGGAGAACGGGCTGAGAGTTGGACACACGTGTGTGTTTGTGTGTGTGTGTGTGTGTGTAAAGGACACCTGTTGCTGATTTGCCTGCTTTCCCTTCCTCCCTGGCTGTGACCTCTGCTTCAACTATGGTTTGGAGGGAAAGGATTCTAGAGATTGCGGTTGCTTTTGTGTTTCCCTCCGCCTCTTTCACAATGAAGGGGTGTGTGTGTGTGTGTGTGTGATGATGATCTTCGGTTGTGTTAGTTACAGGCCTTGGAGGAAGTGCTGGGCTGCCTTCTCTGTTCTCTTCGTCCACCCTCTTGCAGGTGGCACGAATGACGTAGTTCGCGTTTAAAATCCATTTGGGTTGGATCCTGCTTCTTCCTCCTGTCATGTGCGGAGCCGGAAACCTCTTAATGGAAAGCAGCGTTAATTGTTGGTGTTCGTGTGAGCTCCCCCCACCCCCTTCTCATTCTCAAGAAGTCAGGTAGATCTAAGGCTGTGTATAGGGATTTGCTTCGACAGTGTGAGTTAAATGGACTGCATCCAGTTTGTCATGTGAGGGAGCTTGAGAGAGAGAGAGAGAGAGATTGTGTGAGATTCATATGTTTTCATGCTATAGGTACAGCTGACTTGAGATGATTGGAAGGGAGGACTGCGGCTGTCAAAAGCTCTTGTTGCTGTGTGATTTAAAAAAAAAAATGTTCCTCGCCATATTTGGATGTGGCAGCTGGACGGACTTTGTTTTGAATGCCCAACTATAATGAAGCTATTGATGCTTTGGGGGAAAGGCAGCCTATCATGGAAAATAGATTTTTGTGTGTTATGGCAAAATTCATGGGGCTTGCAGATGGTTTGAGTTAGCAAATAGTCATTTCAGATGTCCAGAAGGGATTAAGAAGGCAATTCCCCGCCCTCCAAAAGTATCCCATATGGATTTTGATTTTTTTGTACATGTCTGCATTAGGGTTCAACCCCAAAGAAGTATATTTTAAATGTATTAAGGATTAAACTGACATAAATGTCTTGGTTAGCATGCACTGTAAATCCAATTGCATGAAACTATGGTTCCCCCTTTTTAATAAATAGTTTTATGGTTGGGTTTCCTGATCTTTCTGCTTTTACTGCAGACTTCAGATTTGATGGAAGTGGTAATGTAAGAAAGACAACATCAGTGTTGCTGTTTTATTCAGTTTTCTGAGTCCAGATGTTCTGGGTCAAGAGCTGATGTTTGCTATCTCCTTCTCTTCCACCCCAGAAAGCTTTTGTTGGAGGTGAGATTTTAATCAAGGAAAATAACTCTTAAATATTGTTTCACCGACCTCAGTTAAATTCCATATTTTTTTAACAGCAAAAATGTTAAGTTACTAGTTACAGTTATAATTTAGCCTGTTTCTGTTGCTTGGCTGTTGTTGTTTATACCATGTTTATTTTCCCATGTGTATTAAGCGATAGCTGGCCATTGGTGTACAATTTATCCCTTCATTGTATCTTAAGTGGTCTTGCTAATTAGGATTATTTTGGACTTGAAATTTCAATTCAGATAGCTCTTGACTTACAATCATTTGTTTAGTGACAATTTGAAGTTACATCAGCACTGAAAAAAAGTGACTTATGACCATTTTTTACACACATGTTCATTGCAGTGTCCCCATGATCATTTGATCACTTTTTGCGACTTTCTGACAAGCAAACTCAATGGGGAAGCCAGATTCATGCATTACAACCGTGCTCGTAACTTAACAACTGCAGTGATTCACTGAACAACTGTGGCGAGAGGTGTTGTAAAATGGGACAAAATTCATTTAAGCATCTTGCTTAGTAAAGGAAATTTTGGGTTCAATTATGGTTATGAGGACTAGCTGTAATAGTGTTGTGCAGTTTTCTCACCAGTTAATGTTTTGTGCGAGCAAACTACCTAGTACCTTTCTTTCATCTCATGGAATTAAAATAATTGTTGTAGCATCTCAATAATTACATGAATGCCAAATTCATTACTCCTTTTGCTCTTTACATGAAGCAAATAGCTATTAAGAATTATTTTAAGTTATTGTTCTATTTTGGCTCCTTTGATCTGAAATGTTTTTGACAAAGCAGGAGTTGGTACACTTCGTTCTGCCTCCATACAACCTGCATTCCACTCACAGTCATGAATGTTAAAATCTTCTTAAAACTGAAGTTTGGATTCAGGAGTTAAGACTTTTAAGTTACTTATAAATACAATAAAAGTTTTCTTTTGGGAGACATCATGAGTTGATAATGTTGCTGAGATTCTTTCTAGTGGTTATGGTTTATTTGGGTCATAGTAATGCCTCATAGTGGCAACAAGGGTTTCTGTGTTCTCACTTTGTTATTAATACATTAGCCAAGAGATGGAAAAATCCATTTTCCAGACAGTTTGCTATCTTGTGCCAGGCCATTCTGGAGGAACAAGGCCAATAGAAAATGGTACAGGGACGTTAATTGATGAAGAAAGCAAGCAAATGCTGTTCAATTAGTATTATGTTTTATGCTTTAGCATTTGGGTTTTCTCTTTTCTATATCTGCAATGAGCAAATGGGGACCCAATTCTGAGTGAAAGCAGTATTTATGTTTTTTATTATTATTTCATAATAAAATAATTTTAGCATTTCATGTATTTATTAGATTTTTACTTAACCTTTATATAAAAGAGCTATAATAACAAAAACAATAGTTGAATTACATTATTTTTCCAACTTGAAATGCAAAATCTGCCACTTATTTTTTATTGATTGATTTTACTCCTAAAAATGAGCCAAATCTTGATCAATTTGTTCAGCCTGTTTACTTTTTGCTTATTATTAAAAGTGCTTGTAGCACAACTAGATTTTCTCCTTGTCTAAAATAATGGAATTTTGCATCATATACATGGGAGGGAAACATAGATAAGAAAAGCTTCTTTGTAATAGCAACTATGTATCTGAGTGAAATCCCTTTTTTTTTCTGTTTATACACTAATATATTTCTTGGGAATTGTCTTTGGCCTTGTTTTTATTTTTTTTCTCTGCCAAATTTAATTGTACAGATTTCTGTGTGTTTAGGGTACTGTTTTCCCATCATTACTGCTTTACAATATAATATATAGGAATACTCATGTATATAATGGTGAGGAGAACTTTTTAAAAAGTGCTTTCTACTTTCATGTTCTCTTAGTATTTTATCTCCACTTCACACACCCCTTCTTCACTCGGTTCTTTTCATTCTCCTATCTTTGGAAATAAATAAATGATGGTGATGGTGAGAAAATATAAGAGAAAGACAAAGAGAGTGCAATTATGTCTTGAAGCAAGCAACATTTTACTAACACAAGGGCAAGCTTATTTTTCTCCTCTGTTGTGTTAGTGCATCATATCTTTAAGTGGTATGATTCAAATTTCAGTATTAGTACATAAATTTGGTTCATGCTTCCTTTGTAAATGGCAAGAAAGTAAAAATAAAATTTCTGTAACTGTGGGTATTCACATATAAACCCATCTGCAGCTAAGCCAACCCTCAAATTTTTGACCAAAAGACCATGGAAAATGTGCAGTCTGAGTAACTTGACCCCTCAAAATGTTTGCATGTTTTATTTTTCAGTTTATCCACAGGTGACACATTTTTCATGCTATTTTTGTTAAAAATGGGAGGGTCAGCTTATACACAATTATATATGGGTATTTTAAACTATTGTATATACTCACAAAGAAACCCCTCTGTGGACAAGCTGAACCCAATTTTGGGGGTATATTTTGGAAGTTAAAATACTTGGCTTATTCATGAGGATATATTGTATTTGCGTGGTAACACAGTATTGCAGGCTGACTCTGCCTTCCATTGCCAGGAGTTCGATCCTGACCAGCTCAAGATTGACTCAGCCCTCCATCCTTCCAGAGTATGTAAAATGAGGACCCAGGTTGTTGAGGGCAATATGCTGACTCTGTAAACTGCTTAGAGGGGGCTGTAAAGCACTATGAAGAAAAATATTACTGTTCTATAATTTGGTACTTTTTTGCATTTAGGCCATTTTAAATTTGAACATGATCTAAATAGGAAAAGAAAGGAATATTGGGTATGTTCGCTGCCTTGAATTATGTATAAAAACAGTAAAGCGAAATATTGAATGAATGAATGTTCAGTATCAGTACTGCAGGTACTGATAGCCTGTATTACAAGTTGCTTGGAATTAAACCAAACATTTGGCATTCAGAATAATACTCTGCATGGACTTATGCTGCCCTAAATGGGCAAGATGAAGCTCCTCTTGAATTTTCAGCTTGTGCTTAAAAATAGGTAGAGGATGTAGGTAGCCGGAAGAGATTTTGTACAATTCAGTTGTGGCTGTTTCTGAAACGGGAGGTTACTCATGTTTCTGAAATGGGAGGTTCACTCATGTTCTTGACTCACATCGACATCACTGCATTTCACTGTAGTTGTTTATATCCTTGAAGATCATTTGAAAACTGATACAGAAAGTAGT